TTAAACTCCGCCCTCCCAGCCAGAGATCCTCGTGTGGTGGATGGGAGGGGTGAGGTCTCTTCTTATTGGCTGGTGGGCGGAGCCCCGTGCAGAAGATGAGCCGATGATCCGCACCAACGATCGAGGTAACGGATAAGCTCTGTGACTGTAAAACTGAGAGTCTCAGTTTGACAGCTACGTGGATGAGAGCTGACAACGGTACCTGGCTGCCGTCCTGACAGGGCAAACTAGGCGGCCGCGAGGCCCTCGGGAGCGCGAGGCCTAAGGCGACCGCCTAATTTGCCTAATTAAAGAGCCGCCTCTGTATCTCTGCCATCTATGTTTTTAGTCAGCCTCTAGTCACTTCCCTCCTTTTTCAACAGATTTCTTATTTCTAAAGCCCAAAGCCAAATTAAAAAAAAGCTCCAGTAGGGTGTTTAAATAAAATAAGCAGCTCTGTTTTACTTAGTTTCAGTCAGACACTTGTTGAATGACAATGAGTCAATCTGCGCTAATGGAAAAACAGCTTAAACAATAGAGGGATCTGAAGTTTGGATGCTGCCACACAAAAGGCTAAAAGGCCTCAATAAATCCTTAATACAATAGTATTTGATGGGTGTGTAGCGCTATACTATTGTATTAAGGACTTGTTGAATGACACCCAGCGACTAAGGACATACAGTGAGTATAGAGTGTCATCGGCCCACCATCTTCAAGTAAAATATTCTTACCTTTTCAGCTGACCTTGCTAACTCTACGGCAATGTCTGCTCCTGTATTGCCCAAACCAACTACAAGCACATGTTTCCCAGCATACTGTGCAGGATGCTTATAATCTCTGTTGTGCATATACTGGCCTTTGAATTGCTCAATACCTAGAAAACATTAAATATGACAGAAAATGGTGCCAATGTTTAAATCTGTTTTGAACAACAAACCCCAACTCAATGTGCCTAAAAACTTTTTCCCTCTTTGCATGAAGTTTCTAAATTATATTAATTAAGTTATTCAATACAGATGTTCAAACATCATAGCTGAGCAAAGAGCAGCCAGAAATCCCCATAGCAACCAAAGTTCAGTATAATAAACTCATACCATTGGAAGTCTGTGTGCCAGGGATCACTGTATGTTGTTCTGTGTAATATTTTGCTAATTTTTCATAATTCTGTTTTACCACTAGCAGCTGCCTGCTTAGACCTTTCATTGCTCTGAACTTACAAAAGCTCTTCAAGATTTACTCAGGCAAATACCAGTGCTATCAGATATACAGAAGCCAAGAATGCAGGTATACAAGATAAAGATGCTGTAGCTGGTCCACATGGACCAAAGCATTCCATAGAAATAGACCCTGTCTCCAAGTCTAAATTAGAAGCTCCTTGTAAAGAAGAATGTAAATACTTACCGCTCCTGCTACTTGTACTGTTAAACACTGCTCCAAAGAAGGGCAGTCACTGGAAAAAGTTTCTCCTGAAACTAGTCCTTCTGGGTGTGTATCCTATGAACCTCACAATGCTCAGTGGTTCCCCCTGCAGACCTCTACATTACTGCTGTGACCTGTGGAGGTTGGTGGAAGGAACCAGTGAATACTACGAAGGATATAGAAGATTGAAACTCCCGGAATGTTGGTTTCAAAACAAAACTTCACCCAGGAATTGCTTTAACCCCTTCGTGACTGACGACGTACAGTGTACGTCGCCAGCATCAGGGCTGTTTAAACAGACTCCCGGCGGCTTTTGAATGTTGGGTATCGCCGCGCACGCCGGAGTGAGAGCAATAATTCTAGGGCCAGTATTTTGGGGTATCTCTAAATTGATGACCTGTGGGGGCTTTTAGGGGTACTGCAGTTATTCGCCGTTTCACGGACGCGCGCAATTTGTAAACTGGGCATGTTGGGTATCGTTTTACTCGTTGTAACCTCATCTTTTATATTCATTTAAAAATGGGTATTTTATTGTGTTCTGGGGCATTTAATTAAATTTGTCACTAAATTTTGGGGTTTAATAAGGAGTTGCGCTAATATTGCGCTGCATAAAAATTTACAACTACCACCATTTTATTCTATAGGGTCTTGGCATTCAGAAAATATATAATGTTTGGGGGTTTTAAGTAATTTTCAGGCCTAAAATGTGGAATATAACATGGGTGCAAAAAATTGAAAAAAGCCCTCAGTCATGAAGGGGTTAAAATAAAGAGGTGTTCAGTTGCTTAGGCAGCAGTAAAGGTAATTTCACTTTTCTTTAAAGGAAGCTTTTAATTTGAAATTTGAGATCGGTGACTGGGGCACTTCGGCTCAACGAAAGCCCTAAATATGTCTCAGACAGTTATCTACTGCACAAGATGAGACATAGCATACACTGCCTCTTCATTTATGAAGCCATACCTGTTGACTTTGTTACCCAAACACAAATATAGCAACCTGTGAAATATTACAATATAGCAAAGGCAAATCCCAAGAAAACTGACACCATCATGACAAACACCATGAAAAACAAATGTCTATTTTGTCAGAAAGAGACCCCCATCTGCAGCAAATATGACCATATAACAGGAAAATGATGTGTTTACTATTGATGTTTTTAAATAATTAGTTGAGAATGAGGACATACCAGGGAATGAATGTAAAGGAAGATTAGGATAAACATGATGACCAGTGCAGATGAGTATCGCATCAAAGATGGTTGACTGCTGTTTTCCTTCATGTTCTGTGACAACCTCCCACTGTCCAGTCATTGCAAAATCTGGACGCTTCTGTATACTGACCACAGCTGTCTAAATGTAAAATTGTTGTTGGTATTCAAAGTAGAGATTAATATTTAATGTAATATAAGTAAAATAAAAGGAAACAGACAAGTTAAGTAATTTCCAGATTTGATTATCGCTTCTTTAAATATGCATCGTAACACATTTTCTAGTTCCTGAAGTTCAAAGGGCCAATAAAATAACTGATCTCCTAAACTAGACATCCAGACACATTTGTTTTCTTGACCTGACCTGCTTAAAGCCCAACTCCACCCAAAACATTTAGTCAGTTTTGCAGATAAGAATAGTTACTTTTCTCAACTTTTTATTGCTGTGCATAGCCCCATTTTGGAGAATTCTTATTACTTTTTCTATGCCATAACAGGAGGTTAGGGAAACATTCTCCACTTCCTGTCTATTTGACAGGTGTCAGACAGAACAAGAAGTGAGAGGAATACTACCATCAAGGACACAATGGGAACTCCACTAGGATGTCTTTCAGTTGGAGAGGGTCCAGAGAAGGGCAACAAAACTAATGAAGGGGCTGGAGGACAGAAGCTATGAGACAAGGTTGCTAAATCTAAATTTGTTCACTTTAGAAGTGAGGCGATTAAGAGGGGACATGATTTTGATGTACAAATTGTTTAATGGTGATGGTAATATCACTAATAAACTTTTTACTGTAAACTCCCTAATGAAAAAATTGGAGGACATTTTTTTTACCACAAGGGGCGTAGGGGCTTCTTTTCTATTAGAGTGATAAAATTGTGGAACTCTCTTCCACAAGCAGTGGTAGCAGACCATAACATACAGGGCTACAGGTACTCTTAACCTCTTAACCATGAAGCACTGAAAAAACTGCTCACATACACTGTACATGAGCAGCTATTTAGGGCTGTAAAAAGCTGCTGAAATCAGCAGTTACCATTCATTAATGGATTCCTCAGTATTGAAGAATCCTTTAATGAAAGAATTAAGCTTTGACAGATACCTGATTGCTTGTAACACTTTACAATGTAGATTTGTTTTTAACCCTAAGGGTTGTTTTTTTAACCCTCACATGACGGTGATGTCGCTGTCACTAAGTGTGACACTCAGTGACACTTTGTGACAGTGACATTGTATGCCACCTAACCTAACCACTATTAGCTTTTAGAGAAAAAAAATATTAGCTTTTAGTTTTAGGCTGAAAAGTACAGAAACATTTTTGAAACCCTAGGGATGTGAGGTGTTTCCAAATAAAGGACAAATAAAAAAAAATTTCTGCTGTGCTATTTTTCTAAAAATATTAATAATCAAAACTGGGGAAAAGTGTTTCCTTTATGTTTTTTCCTCATTGTTTTTATATTTTATTCATATTAATTGAGGCGTTAGGCACACAAATGGGTTACAAATATATAGCCCTATTTGCCCTCTAAAAAACAAAATATAATATGCGTGGGTGCACTTAGGAAGAAAGTTACTGCAATGGAAGAATCACACAGCAAAACTGTAAGAAGTGTGTCAGTCATTAAGGAACAGAAACTGAAAAAAAGCTCAGTCATGAAGGTTAATAACTGGAACACACACAGACTCATAAACACACACACACTCACAAAGGTTGAACTCAATGGCCCTGTGTCTTTATTCAACCTCAAATACTATGTAACTATGTAACTTTCAGGATCAATACTCCATAGCCAGCACAGCATTAATGCATGGTGACAACAAACAGCCTACTGTCTTACACTCGACAAACACTTACCTTAAACTTAATGTGCCTCAGTAAATCAAAATTTTTGGCATATAGCTTCAAGTATTCCAAGAAAACAGCATTATGCATGAAGTTAGGGTACTCATCAGGTATAGGAAAATCTGGGTAGCACATCATTTCCTTACAAGCATTGGTGAAGACAGAGTGGTATATACTTGCTCTTCCATTTTCTGCTTTATCCTAAGTAGAATACAGACAAACTATAACTGACAAATGACTGTAATACAAAAGCATGTAAAAGCACTATGCAAGCGACATTTTTGTTCATAATAATAATCTCTCTCTCTCTCTCTCTCTAACAAGGGTCAGATGGTAGACTTATGAAGGCATCCATGAGGTTAAGGGTCACACTTATGACCAGTACTAGGACATGGTCTTATAGCACCCATTGGAAAGATGTCGAAGTGGGCGTCACCTTTACTAACCATGTTTTGTCCAGTTCCTAGTACAAGCATTTCCCTACATATTCCTACATACAAGCACTCCTCCATCATATACATTATATTCCTAGATGCACTTCCTAATTGCTCCTACAGACTGAGGATCTGCACTTTGTTGCCCTTCTGTCTCTACTAGGAGCCTATCCTAGAAAGAAAAATACCATGTTCACCTATCCTTTAAGTTCTGCCAGGTAGTTTCTAGGTCATAGACTTCTGAAATATCCTTTATTGGGCAGAGTATTCTTCTTGCAATAGGTACAGATTTTCTATTGACATCCACACCAAGGAGACAGCTCACTATAAATGTTGCGTATTGTTATTCTTAATTTAAAAGGCCAGTGCCAAATATTTATTTGGAATTTCAGCCTAACATTTGTTTCTGCTGTATCATACATAAAATAGAAAACCTACTTCAGAGAAGGAGACCACACATAATGACAGGAAGCTCACCACCCTAAGAGCTTTAAGAAGTCAGCTCATTTAACATGTACCCAGTACCCAGTCACTTCTACCTACATCTGAAATAGCATTTCAAAGTGGGTTTCATCTTTAATTTTACCTAGAATTTTGTGTAGGTGCAAATAATATAAATTATTTAAAATGTCTGGTTGTTTTTTTTTCCTTCTGTGTTGCTTTGGGGATAGTTTGCTTCATTTCCTGCCCTATAGACTCAGCAGTAAGCGAGAGGAAACCTTTCCCAAGTCAGAAAAAATCCCCTCTTAGACAATTGTCAACAAAATGTGTGCCCCCTTTGTAAAATTTCCCCTCTATTCAAGTTCTTGAGACAACTCATAATGTTGGATTTTCCTTCACTTTCAGTCTTGATGATAGTGGTTACCAGAAAATAAAGACATTGCTCAAAGGAAGTCCTGGTCTGTTTTTGTGTGTTAAGGCTCATTAAGTGCCCATTGAAAATGAATGGGCTGCTTTAATGCAATGTGCCTCTACGTATGAAAAACTGATTAATGAGAGCATTGGCATGCATAGAGATGTGTGAAAGAACCCTTAAACATTATCAGTTATCATCAGAAGCTTCTTACATGAAATTTTGCAAACAAAAAAACATACCATAAAATTCCATAGTCCACCAACACAGTTACCCTTCTCAAAGCACGTTGCCTGAAGTCCAACTTCCAAGCTACATTTAAGGGCAGCAAGTCCACTAATTCCAGAGCCAATGACCGCCACTGTGTTTGCCATTTTCTAGAATATAAAATTAAAAACATATTAAATCCATTTACTTGTTGACTACATGTGGGATTAATCTGGGTGCATTAGTGAACATGTGTTACTGCATATTAAAGTTGCTCTGGCAACATTCAAACTAATGCATTTAAGTAGAGTAATATGTTGGCAATTAGCATCCAACATGTAACTGTTTCATGCGATAACTCATCCACAAGGGCCAGCGTCCCCCTTTTTCTATTGGAACAATTCCAAGTCATCTGAAAGGGTTAATGAATCTGAGGCTACAGAAGAAATCTTAGAATAATAATAGTAAAAGTAAATTATCCCCACTACACCTCTACTACATTCTTATATTGTTCTGCACCTGGGATTAAACAAAGGTGTGGTGCATGCCTCTAAAAACAATAGTTATTCAAGACAATGTTATAGACAAATCAATGAAACTATACTGCACTCTATGAACATATTTATTTAACATTACATTATGTACAAACAAAGATCCATTAAAAATTCCCACCAAAAACACAATAAAACCCACCCATCGTAAAAAGCGGCAGCTGTCCCAGAGCCCCCTACATCACGGTCACATACATTGAAGGCATTATAATTCATATCTACAGGTGTTCTAATCAACCTTATTCAATGTCTCTCAGCCTGGTTGACCTCTGGAAGCAATCTTATTTCTATATATTGCACAAGTCCCAAAGTAGAATGTAAACATTTGTCATTTCATGTATGCCTACACCTTGCATCTGGGCTGGGCTATCCTTATTTTTAACGAGTGAGAGATAATTTACACAGACATTACATCCTTTCCACCTCTTTTCATTTGCATATCAGGGCCTTTATATATGTTTCATCAATCCAACATATAATACACAATGTTAATTACTCAAGTCATGCTTTTGAGCCACTATATACTGGTTCTACCAGTGACACCTGTATCAGTACTGCCACAGGCATGCACCAAAGTTTAGCATCACTCTGGACATAGTTCATGGCTCAATCAAAGGCATTCCTGGCACCTATGGACCTGGTGCTTTAGTCTGAGTCACATCCACCTGTTCTGCCTCACAGGCATAAAATGTAATGAATTATTTACCTGCCTTCTCAAAATCAGCCACACGATGGTGCTGTCGAGAATATATCTCTATTTACAGCAAAGCAGACTTTGCTCAAGAAGAAGGAAACAGGTGTATTTTGGGACTCAGTCTCCAATTTGAAACCGAGGATCGGAGAATCTAGTGCACTCCTGAGCAGAAAACATCCAGATTCCCCTTAAGGCAGCATCACTGCTAGGGACAGACTTGTTTCCCTTTGTATTTGTGAGCTATCACTCTGTTTACATGTTCATATATTTTTAATCCATTTATATAGCATCATAGATCATTTGGAATTAAAGGAGAACTATGAGGTGAGTGTTTTTCACTCACCTCATAGTTCTAGCCAACCTGTGACAATGAGACTGTCACAGGTCGGCTCAGTAGATCGGGAGGTGAGCGAACACATACCGGCGTTCGCTCACCTCTCGATCCTGTCATGGCTCTCTGCC